GCCCCCCGCAGTGCTGCCGCGGCGGCTTGCGCTCATCTGGAGCCGAGCCTCGCTCGCACAAAATGAACTTTCCCAACCCGGCAAGGCTGCTTGGGCAGATGCGTGTGTACCTTTTATTAGCTAGCTAGTCTATTCGCTACGTAGTACCTTTTGGGACGCTGCTTCTGCTTCCGTTGCTTCCACTTTTAATCCAAACCTCACTTGCACAAAAGGAGCTTTTCCAAACCAACGAGGTTCTTTGGGTAGATGTGATACCTTTTATTAGATATTTATTTTATCCGATATGTATTAGCTATTTAAGGTGATACTTCTATCCCTATTGGTCTCACTTTTATCCGAGCCTTAGGTTCTTCGGGTAGATGTGATACCTTTTATTAGATATTTATTTTATTAGCTATTTCTTAGATATTTAGGACAATAATGATCCCATTCCTATTGCTCTTTTATCTGAGCCTAATTTGCACAAAATGAACTTTGCCAACAAGGCAAGGTTCCTTGGGTAGATGTGATATCTTTTATTAGATATTTATTTTATTAGATATGTATTAGACCAACTGAGTAATAATAAATCAATAATAATAAATGAATGAATCAGTCAACCAGTACATAAATAAATGAGTCTAATAAAAGGTATTGCATCTACCCAAAGAACCTTGCCTGCCTATGTCCTTAGACCGACACGGCTACAGCCAGAAACCCTTTTCCAGCCAGGAGATCTTACACCACCTTCAGCTCTCCTGTGAAATATGAATTTTCATTTCCACCTAGGAGACATTTTTACAATCTTTGCATTCTCCTATGCCTGAAGAACGATGTGTGCACCCAAAAGCTTGCAAAGAAAGAATTTTTTTTTTCAAATACCTAGTTGGTCTAATAAAAGATATCACCTCTACCACGAGTTCTGATTCATACAATAATTTTAACCCTTGTACCATGTACGATCAATAATAGTAAAGGTGCTCAAAGTGTACCATGGATTGTTGGCTGTAGCCATGCTGGTCTTAGGACATAGGGAGACAAAACTCTGGGTAGAGGTGACCAACTAAATAAACACACAATAAAAAAACAATTGTTTTGGAACTATTTAGTCAGTCTAATAAAAGATATTGCCTCTACTCAAGGAGTTTTGTCTGCACCAGGTATAATAATTTCTGAGGCAGCTAATTCATGCAGCATATGCAAAACCCAAATCATTCTGGGGAGTTTTAACTTTTGGGTTCACTGTCAGCACTTCCTTATGACAGTTTGCTTCAAAAATAAAGAAATGCTTCAATCTGATGACCCAGTTCTCATTCACTCACTGGCGAGTTATCGTGAACAATATAAAGTAACTAAGTTTTATTGGCATATTTTCAGTGTACAATAGTTTTTCAGCAAATACAATAATTTTGAGCTTCCAATACGATAATTTCATATTGAAGACCTGGCAGGACCCTGCCATTGCCTCCAACCAGGCTGCAACGGCAGGGGGCGGGGAGGGGGGGGGGGGGGGGGGCCCTGCCAGCCAGACCCAGAGCCTCTACCGCCTGGGCACCACTGAGGGGGCTCCCCAGAGCTCACCCTGCAGGAGAGCTGGGCCCCTTCTGCCACATGTGGATGGAGCCAGCGCAGCAGCTGACAAATAACCTGGCAGGGAAAATACCGTGACCTATCAGGTGAGTTTCCTAGTTGCAGGGGAAAACCACTTTCTTGGCAGGGAGTAGTACCCTGACTGAGCCAATGTATTAGCCTCCCACTTTCACTTCCAGTGGGAAGATCTTGGCTTGACGCCCGTCTCCAGGCAGAGTATCTGGGCAGTGTCCACTGACTCCTTGGATTCAGTCAAGGGCCAGTGGGTGGTGTCCGGTGTACTCTGCTCAGTGTCTCCCCTTGGCACTCTAGTTATTAACCTTTGACCATCATTCCCATCCCTCTTTTTGTTTATTATTTGTCCCCAGTAATCTGTAGACTCCACATCTGAGGGAGGCTGATAGGTTACCTGGTGGGCCTTGACCCATGTCCCTCAAGGTGACAAATATGCCTGGCCCTGGCCAAACTGATCCATTTGACCAGGAAAAAGGCTCTGGCTGGGTGGAACTTCAGAGGCTACAGGACCACTTTCCTGCCCCTGGTCCATTCACAGCTGCGGGCAGAGTTTCACTGGAGAGTGTACCTTGGCTCCTTGGACTGGTTTGGGGACCAGTGGGCACTGGCTGGTGTGCTCTTCTCAATGTGCCTTCCAGATCCCTTATTTTGAACCTGTGACCTCCCTCCCTTCCTTTGTTTTCTTTGTTATTTTGTCCCAAGAAATCCATTGTTGCTTTTTAAGGGTGGCTTATAGGTTTTCTTGGTGGGCATTGGCCCACAATCCCTTGAAAATAGCCACTAGGCCTGGGCAACCTCTTCCTGGCCCTGGCCAAGCTGGCCATCTACAAGAGCAGGAAGGAGGCTCTGGTCAGGGGGAACCTGGGTGAGTGTGGGGCTGTCTTTCTGCCACTCCTCCGCTCACGTCTCTGGGCAGTTTCACTGGTCAATGTCCACAGGCTCCCTTGACTCATTTAGGGGGCACTGGGCACTAGCTAGCCCATGCTCTGTTCTGTGTCCCCTTCTGGATCACTTGATATGAATCTATAACCTCATTCCTCTCCCCGTTCTCTTTTTATTTGTGCAAAGAAATCAGCTTATAGTATTTTGTGATAGGCGTAAATCCATGATCAAACAGGCCAACCCCACCCCTGCCTGAAGCAGGATCGTCCCTAGCCAAACCATCCTATACAATCCATCACTTTAAACTCAACATTGTCTTTCAGCAATAGCTGCTTTTTCAGTCTTTGGGTTGAAGGCCCATTGCTCTGTCTCAAATCACAGCTTCTAAACAAAATCTACATTTATACTGAGGTGGGTTGGCATTGTGATGGTCCAGGAGATAACCAAGAAGCAAGGGTTTTTTTTTATTGGACCAGTTGGGAGAGATGTTCATAGAATAATCCTAGAGAAGCAGGGCTGAGGGGGACCTACAGAAGGCATCTAGTCCAACCCTCTACCTGAGGCAGGAGGTCCTAGACAAATCCCTATGTTATTTGTTTTAATCTTGGTGTTGTGGTTGCTGGACAAATCCCTAAATTTGTCTTTTAATCTCAGTGTTATGGTTTCTCTTATTTGACAGAGCATCTTTAAAAAAATGCTGGACATCTATCCTTGATGTTTAATTGGGTAAACAAACAGTAGACCCTTAGGCTGGGAGTATCTCTCCCTGAATTGGGAAGGTCCTGATTTGTTAGCATAACAAAGCTGGAACACCTGGCTTCTCTTCCCCTAATTTACACCCAGTAGAGTTGATTACAGTTTACAGATGATTACAGATTACAGTTAAGTGGTCAAACAAGAGAAGACAAAGGGCTTAACTCTGCACTTGGGCTTGATAGATGTTTTGGGTGCCCAAAGAATGTGAAGTGGAGTAGGCTGTATGTGCTTAAAGTGGCCTGTGTCTCTTGCTCCTGTCAGTAAGTCTGAACCCTGACATTTTTTTAACTGGCTTTTTGTGAACAGATTCCAGTTGGAGTGAATAAGGCCCTACCACATTTCCAGTCCCAAGAGTTTTCAGGTCCCCACCCAATCGTAAAATTTGAACCTTGAATTCATCTTTAAGAACCTACTGGGTAGTTGAATCCAGACCTATGAGCAAAAATATGTCTCCCATCTCCTCCCTTTTTAACTTCCCTAACTAAGGACAACCTGAGTACAATGCTAAATATGCAGAAAATATTTGATACATTTTATATTACTGCAACATCAGTGCTATCATTGCTAAATTATGCTTTGCTTTGTAGAGATACTTAGGTGTGTTTAACCTGAAGTTGGGCAGAAGTCAAGGCAGAATGGCCTTGTGGGCTGAGTAATTCAGATAAGCATAAGCTTTCATAAGCAACAGAGGGTTCCTCAGTCTTGATTGTGTGATGTGCTGTCTTTCCTCAGTCCTCTAGAAGCTTGTCTGCTGGTGACATCCAGAGGTTAAGCTGTTGGGATTTGGAGTGGGATGGCCGCTTTGATAGCTTTCTTGTTCCTGCTCTCTGAGGACATTGACATATGCTAACAGTGACTTTCAAGGACTCAACATATGTGTTGTCCCTTTTCTTTCTCTTAGGTAAAAAGAGGCCGAAGTTCATAAAACAACTTCATGCATTTTTTTCTCCCATTTCAGAAACTCTTAGAAAATCTTCCTTGATTTTCTTGGAAGATGTTACTCATAAACAAGCCAGAAAGGAAATAAAGTTCTTGGCTATATTTAATTGTACCTGAGGATATTTCTTTTACCTGTAAAGAGCTGTTGTCTCTTCATTTGGATCTACCCAAATACTTTAAACAGCTAGAGGTATTAGTGGGTGGTGTAAGGCACATAGCTCTAAAGCATAGGAGTGTGAGTGTTTCCAATGAATGGAGTTAATTTAATTTTAAAGGGTAGAAAAACAAGAGTGAGTGACACAAAATTAGGACTTTAAAATCTATATATGATGACATGTTAAAGCCAATTATCCCTTGATAAAAAAGGTGAATGCACCTTTATAGAAGTTACTTGTCGAACATGGAACTTCTTTGTGGTGGGTAGGTACCTGCCTTAATATTAACACATGGCATGTTACTTAGATCCTCCACTATCCCATAGTGCTCTGCTCTCCCACCTCCAAAGGGGAAGGAGGGAGGAATAATGACTAGCTTTCTGACAGCCCACCCAGCAGCACATTGTCAGGGAGGCTTGCACACAGCCCTATTACCATTGTTTAAAGGTTACCATATTTCCAGTTCCAG